ATGTTGAACCCAGAATACAAGCAGACAGCATAGAGAATATCTGATCAAGTGTTTATTAAACAGTCTGCATTAGTACTCAACAGCAGGAGGAAGGAAAACTGGATCCTCTGGTTCTGAGTTCAGTCTGAGCCCGGAGGAAGGAATAGAGTCTTGAGAGGAGATTTCCCCACAGCTTGCAGAGGGAGCCGCCCCAAGAGTTCAGAGTGACAAGCTGAGTAGACTAATGAGCAAGCACCAGCCGATGCCGAGGATCAAGAGTATCCATGGGGGGAAATCCAAAGCTGGAGTCATTGCAGAACCAGGTTTTCAGGCTAGAACATCAGAGAGCCGAAGAGGTACCAAAGGAGGATTCAAGCTGAGGTCAGAAGAAAGGTCCAAGTTCGGTAAGCAGGCAGAGATCAGGAATCAGTCCAGGACAGATTAGACTAACGAAACAGAGCGAAACAGGGGCAAAGCAAAACTCAGAGGTCCCAAAAGCAGAAACATGTCAGGGTCAGAAAATCATAATGTAACAGAATAGCTAGAGTTACTCTCACAAACAGCTCGATGGCAGGAAAACAGGCAGAATAAATAGCAGCTGGAAACAGGTGGATCAGATGAACAGTAATAAAGAAGTGAGCAGATTACAGGTGAACAGAATGAACAATTAAGCAAACCTGCCAAGACCATGATGGTATTGGTTGTTCCAACCTATGGGGTTTGTTATCCCAGTGTTATTTAATGGGGGAATAAAAGTCTCACTTGTTTTTTTTTTTTTGTTTTTTTTATCAATCTTGAGAAATTACATTAAACTTTTAAAAGTTTAATGTAAGTTCGTTACTAATTATGCAACATATGTATTGAAATAAGATCCCTTAAATTGAAAATAAAACAAATGAAAAAAATAAATTAAAAGCAGCAATCTCATTTCAATTTTTCATTTGTAGCTTCTGTGGTTTTAAAATAGGAATAAGAAATTAAAATTATCATATTAAATACAATGTCCCATAAATGTGAGGCTTTAGGGCTTCAAATGGCAAAGTCCTCTTTCTTTCCATGAATCCACCAGTTCTCTTTTCCAACATCCTTTTCTCTTCCCACATGCCAAAATAGAAAGGGTCGTTACATGTATCAAAGGGCAACTGTGGCGTCAGTTGCAGGATATTACTTTATAGTGAAGTAAATTAACTGACCATTTGACAGATGATCACAACTTTTTGCTCCCCGTTGATCAAGTAACCCGGCCTCCCCGCCAGCTCCCTGCACTGTCTTTGTTATTTATCGACACTGTTGGAGAGTGACAGCGGGCAGCTGTGAAAACAAAACCCATAATGCCTTGCGAGGAGAGCTCTCCTCGCAAAGCATTCTGGGATATATCTGCTTATCTAGTGACCATGGATGATCACTTTTCAAGGAGCATTATGGGAAATTTCAAGTCCACTGCTCTTTTATCCACTAGACTTTCGGACACTCATCTCAAATGGCGTAACCACTATATAGTGCCCTATTTAATGATTAAGATGGACATTTGGACAGCCTCTGACTTCTGACTGACTGCTTTTCTCAGCAAGTTGCAAAAAGCTGTTTTTCATATCTCCTTGGTCTTTATCTTCCCTGGAAAGTGTGGACAGAACTTCAATAGTTAATAAATATAAATCTACTTAATTTAAATCAAATTCATCTTATGGTAAATGGTCAAATGGCCTGTATTTATAAGTTAAGGGACTTGACCAAAGCATATTACACTACATTCAGTCATTCACCCGTGTGATACCTTAAGATGTTTATTGCCCAACCCAGTAGGGGTGGCAAATATCTTATTTAATCAGATATTATTTGGGCTTTCATATACTGTTTATGAACACATGCCCTACTGGCTGTGTGTTAGAACAATAAATAAAAGAGTTAATCGAACTCAAATCATGGTCAAACAGATAATTCTGCACATACAAGGAATTAATTCACCACAACTTCTTTTCAAAATATAAGAGTTTCTTAACAAAAATGATTTAGCTCCAAGTCAAAATACTTTAGTTAAAAACTCTTGAGTGAAAACTGGTGGAACTCAACTAAACTAAGCTACTATGTACAAAGAGGAAAGAGAAACATGGTTGAAAAACCTTTCTTAGTTTTGGAAAGATTTTATGTTTATCTTGAAGAATTTGGAATTTGATCAAATTAGCTTTTCACTAATTTAGAGCAATTGGACTGTTTTCAAACCAATTCACAATGAAATGGCCAAATAATGTTCTATTGAATTATTTGCTTAATCAGGAACCATTAACATTTAGTTAAATGATAGACTTAGACAACACTTACTGTCATTTTGTATACACAGAGTTTTTTTTACAAAATAAAAATTCATTTTGTATAGCTCTCATGACATTTCCAGGAGACGTATTAAGGAGAGTCCAGCTCTGAAAATTCTGAAACTCATAGAAATGTGTTGCAAAAAGTCTGTTTTGCAGCAGTTTGGTTCTGAAATGTCAACCATCATGACATTCTCAGCTCCACGAAGGGGCCGAGGTACATCTCTGTGGGAGGTCTCTTGAGGCGCAAGTTGGGGGAAGGTTTGCAGAAGCTTTGAGACGGCAGCAGCACTGTGTAACAGAACTTCACCGTCTACTCAATTGAAAATTTACAGATGAAACATGAACATTGGTCCTCAATGTCCAAAACTTCATCAAGGTCAATGTCCAAACACCCATTTACTCATACACTGATGGTAGCAAACTACACTGTAGCAACAGCAGCCCAGAAGCAAGGCTGACATACATTGGCATCACTGAGCCCTCTGCCCACCCTCAGTAGGCAATGCAGGTAAAGTGTCTTGCCCAAGGACACAGCGACACTGACACACGAAACTGGGACTCGAACAGACAACCCTCAGATTGCAGTGCAAACTCCTGCACTCAACACCACTGTCACCTTACCGTAATTTATCTAGCACCAATTTACAACAAGATCAAGATTAATCGAATCATACAGACAGATTGGGTGGAAGTTTTTAATCAAACAAAACTGGGCTGATTGCAGCTAGTTATAGGTTAAATCAGAATACCTCAAATGGGTAATGAAGCCACATTGGAAGTGCCTCAGGGTTCACCATAATACATGCTATTCAAATAGTGCTGGCAGTAAAGAGGGAGCTAATGGTCTAGTCTTTCTTTACCTGCAAAACTAAAACCTGTATTTCACAATGAAACACCTTCAAGTTCTGCCTTACTGAACTCTGTTAGCAAGGTTATTTGGACTCGTATATATTGTTTGTTATTTATGCTACTTTTTATAGTTATTTACTGTAGGTGGGCAGAGTGGCAGCAGCTACCATTTAATTACTCAAATCGGCATGTATGAAGGACAGGTATGCAGTAACATGTACTCATGGTTTCACTTTATTTTTGAGAAGATTCAACACCCAAGCTTATTTAATACTGTTAGACTTTATCTATTTTTATTGTTTTGGAGTAGCAAAACATTTTTTTTTCTGGGCTTGGATTCCTTGAAATACAATGTCAGTGAATACTTTACATATTCTGACAGATTCAGAATACTTACCAGTGCAACAGTGACTGTTTCTGCAGTGAGATGTCTCCCCATTTTTTTTTTTTTACCCCACAGTTTTTACTTTATTGGTACAGTTCACAAAATATTCCTCAGTTTTCTGATGTCATTCTCTTTTTGTTTTCTGTCATTTCTTTGCAGAGTTTTCCAGAGTTCCTAGTAATGAAGTTTGCTATACATTTAAATAACAGAAGATTTAGTCAGAGAAAGGTTAAACACCTCTGAAAATAAAACTACATGGCAGGGATCTTGTTGGAACTACTGTATTTCAATTGAGCTTTTATCTGTTTCCCAAAACAGTTGCATGATCTAAACAAATATTAAGAGTAAAGCTGTTGGTTTGCTTGCAGTAAAACACTGGATGTTTCAATACCCTAACTTTTTTTTGACTGGATCTATTACACCATGAAATCCTAGTGTAAAACCTTTAACTGCTGCCTCTAAATTAAAGTTATATGTCTAATATTTTTTGTCAATAAAGTAAAATATATTTATAATAACTTTCTCCATTGTTTTCTGTTGTCCTGTTTAATAAAATGCAATTAGTCAATATGGAATTTTTGTATTACCCAGAATGTTAACAGATTATGGAAGATTCCACTCATGAAAACCATGTCATGTTGGCTGAGACTTTATATTTAGCATACAGATCTGTTTAACCATATAAATGCTGTATGAAATGACTTTAGTTTGATCCAGAAAAGCAAAAAATAAAGGTAGATTCTTACTGCTCATTCATTTGCAGGTAAGTTTGTTGTATTTTTCTTTTTTTAGAAACTTCTGCCTTATCACAAAAAAAACAAAAAACAAAAAAAACATTCACTCTTTTGCTTATTCAGGTACTTAACATTCTGTCTCACTAACTTGCTAGATTTCATTTGAATCATCCATAATGCACTCAGAATGCATAAAATGTTTATACTCAATAAAAGAGGGTTTAAATCAAGTTTAGAATATTGTTCTCATAGTATTTTTTCTTAGAACATATTGACTTACTTTGCAGCCAAATAATATTTAGAGCTTTCGTCTGCACTGATATGCTTTGATGAGTAAAATATATATTCTAAAACTAGGTAGACTTGAAAGCTAATTGCCATTTAGCCTTCTGACATTTGGGAATTTACAGCCAATAACAACAGGGACAATTCTAAAAACTAGATAAAGACACTGATCGTGCTCTGGTGCATGTAGCTTTGAATTCACTCTGTATCATAATGCCACAGACCTTCAAAGATGTTATATAATTGTTATAAAATGGATTTAGATAGAAATACATTCCCTGCTTCAGAATAAATACACCCAAAGGGAAACTAGAGTTCTGACCTTGTTCTTGTTGCAGCTGTTGCTGAATAGTAATGGGTACAGCTCTGCTGTTAAGTGAAACTTTTCACCCTTTGACGGTGCACCAGAGATTGGATATTGAATTAACACACACAAAACGTTCTTTTCTTCTTTTATTATTGAGTAAAATGACAAGCAGGATTTATTTTTCTAAACAACAATCACATGAGGGAACATACAACATGGATATATGAGGCTGAAAGCTTTGATCACAATGTACAGAGGAACAGGAAGAAGATAACAGTTGAATGTTTTCATTCTGTAAAAGGACTGTGCTGAGTATTTGGTTTTAAAATGAGCAATGTGTGCACGCATGAAAAACTAATGGATTCACAGTCAGCAGCTATGTACAGAACAGGGTTCATAATCAGCATTACCAACTTATATCTAGGAGAGAAAATAGGTGATTGGAAAAGGAAACAAACTGAGGTGAACGGGAAAGACAAAAGCCTCCTATAATAAACCAACATTTAAAGGTTTAACTCAATTTAAGTAATTACCCATTGTGTTATAGAGTTAGAGGGTAAGGGAGAAAATGCATAGAAATGTGTCCAGCAGGTGACAGTTTCCATGTCTGACAAGCTACAAATCTACTCCTGAAGCATCTCAAAAAGTTGCCTCTAACATTCAAGGCGTGTCCTCAAATACCATCTACACAAACCACAACTACACCATCCTCCAGAGTTCTGACTTTTCATTAGTTCACATTTAAAACATCCACTGAAACCATGCTGCAAAGCAGAGCAGACGAAGCATTTTTACCACACCGAACTATACATTAAGATCTTTGTTTTGGACCAAGGAATAGAAGTTATAACAGCAATCACTACATTGATTCTGTGGCTGGGAGACTTTTTGAAACAACTTTGTGCATAACCCTGGTTGAATTTTAGCATCACAGATCGCTCTCATGTTTAAGCTGTAGAATACAAAGGAGGGGGGGACAAACAAAACGAAACTACAGTGGTCAAAACCCTCAAAAGCCGGTTATGAATTTGGATCAAAGGTTACAGAGTGTGCTGCCATAATGAAGCACTCCATCGCCTCTTCAAACAAGATGGGATCACAGCAAGGGCTCCTTTTAATTAGATACATGGCTGCGAAAGACGGACATACTGATGAGAGAGGCAGATTCTTGAAGAACTACACTCGCTATGAATGAAGGGGTCAAAGAAAGAGGTGTAGTCTGCAGCCACACTGGGAATAATTAGGCTTATTCCTCAGATGGAGGGTATTTTCCTTAAAGGCACAAGGAAAAAGTTGGGGGCAGGTGAAATCCAACCAAGAGAGTTGATCTGGACAAATAAAATCTTCCAATAAATTTCTTCCAATTTATTTACAGTATCATCAGGTGGTCACCTACTATATTTTTACATACTTAGTAAACCCAATGTTGCATATAGCAGTCACTTTCTGAGAGAAGCAAATTTCCAGGTAAGCTTTTATAAACAGTCTAATCAGTTATTCCTTCCATGTTTTATAGTTTCAATGGCAGCCATTACCCAGTGGACTAACAAATACATTTAATTATTAAATTTTCAACTCTGTTGTTCTTACAAAATTAAACAGCAACAGCAACAAAATTCAGTGCAACTGTACCTTTGAAGGAAAACAAAACCCAGTGAGTCTTGACGTCATGACCTAAGAATCCCCGACCCATACAACCACATTGCCCTTGAGAACATCTGTAATTTCACAGTTAAGCTTGTTGAGACGTCCATCCAGAATAAAGAGTGACTCTCTGGATGGGGTCATGATATACTGCCCGAAAAGTCCACTACTCACAATGACCCTGTTCTTGCTGCTCCAAGGCCAGTCAAACGACTTGATGGCCTCTTTCAAGCTCTTGATCATTTTGACTTTGCCGGTCATCAGCTCCACATACAGTGCATCAGTTTGACGGCCAGAGCTGCCAAACACATTGTACTGGTGGATCTCTGTGAACGAGCGCTGGAATGCTAAATCAGACAGGTGAAGGTTGGTATGGATGTCAAAGGGCTCCTGGATCTTTCCACGCTCAGAAATGGTCTGGATTCTCATTAGGCCGTTATCATCATCCACTGTGACTAAGTAATGACCATCTGGAGAGACGTAAGGGGAGCCTGTGACATCACGGTTTTGCCCAATCACATTGTCTGTTACGCTGTCTAAGATAAGCTGGGGCTGTGTGGCGCCGGTAGAGTCGGGTTTGCAGTTAACAAAATAGTAGCCCCCCACATGGGTGTAAGCTACAGACTTGGGGATGCAGTTAAACTCCCACAAACTGATGTTGTTGACATAAGTTGTAGTCTCCAGGTTAATCTTGTAGATAACAGGCTCATTTCGATGAAAGATGAGTCCAAATCTAGAAGGAGTTTAAAGAGAAAAAAAAAAGACATTTGATTATTATTTTCTTACAAACACCCAAGTGAGTTGTGACCAGGTTAAGCAATATAAGTATTCACATTTGCTCTGTTAGATTAATCGTTTATGAGTTGAGCTTCAAATTGCAAAAAGAAACAAAAGAGATACAAAAAAGGTAATTTAACATTGTATATACACTTTAACAAAATGAGAATCAGTGTTTCAAAGCAAGTTCAGTATTGACTTGTTCAACATTCTTGTTCATCACTTATGAAACATGATTGACATAGGTGCAAATACCAAACGGTTTATGCATCATGCCCTTGCTATCCAGTCCCAAATGTTTTAGGCAGAATTATTATGAGTGGAACATGCCGAAAAGGCCGAAAGAGGGCTTTTATGTCCTTGAAGAAATCCCTTATAAGACAGGTGTTGTATACATCAGTGCTGACATGCTCAAAGACCCAGCTAACACTGGACTGATGAGGGTACTGCAACAAGTCCACATGCTCATTGTTTCATTTGAAGAAACAAGAACCTAGATTATGGTAGAGCCCGCTCCAACGTACTATGAAGGAAAGATTTCTACCTGGAAACCTATCAGGAATGTCCAGATTATTTTTTTCTAAGCAGATAAAAGAAAAACTTTCCTAAACCATTTAATGCCCCATGTTTAGTTCTCAAACTCCAAAATAGGGTACGTTTGTGGTCCATGAGATATGGCAGTGTGAAGACTTTTTTTGTTTTTGCTCTCTAAAATAAAAGTGTTCTCTAGCTGTCTATAATGCCATCATCTGGTTTTTGAGCTCCAATCAGCTATGGTGAGAGCTGAATTTGAATTTAGTTAACAATCTTGATCTGGTCAGAAAACACATTGGTTCCTTCAGCACATAAAATATAAATACGTTTGTTTTTGGGGCACGGCCTGCAGTGCCTTAGGGCTTGATGTAGCTGTCACTGGTTCACGTCCTGGGTTGTTGACTGTTCCTGTATGTCCTACCTCTCTTCAATCTAGTACCCTAGATTGAATTGAGTCAACCACCTTGCATTTCATTCCATAACTTTTGCAAGCTCATCTTTTTACTTTTACAATGTGGTTATGACAGAGAGTCCCATAGTATTAGATAGTAGAACATAGTATGGTACTACGTGTAAATACTATGTTCTACTGTACTAT